GCGTATTTTTTTTTTATATGAAAATACTAATAATATAATTATGTTTATTACTTGTCAAGTTTAATGGCTTAATCTTGCTTTACTGTTTGACTTACACGTCTATCAGTCGCGTAAGCGGGGCATATGATCACAAGATGCAGAAAGGAAAGGTCTTGGATAATTGAAAAAGCTACGCTAGGGATAAATAGCTTATTGTCCCACAATATTTCTCAATGAGAAATATTGTAATAATTGGGTTAATTTCAAGAAAGACTTTAAAATGTTTACTTGAAGCGAATTTTGACATGGAATATTTCCGTGTCAAAAACGTTCAACGACTAATAGGTTTGTTATTTTATATAACAGCTTAGTAAGAATCCAACATGTATTTTCTCCTCTTTTATAGTAAAATAAGGTTAACTTAAAAGAATATTTTAAGTAATCAATAATTAATATAAATAATATTAATGAAATAGACTTAATCCTAGATTAAAGATTAAGCGCCAATTATAGAATAATCCATGCAGTGAGGAGGATAGATGAAGAACTTGATAATTATCAAGATGAAAATAACTACGAACAGAATTTACCGATATTATTTGACAAAAAAAGTAAAATAAGCCGATCTAAAGAATTGAGCTATATTAAAAGCGATACAGGTAAAACTAGACATTATACACCTGCAGCTCAAGAGTGGTATAATAGTGTATATTCATATAACTCTAATTATATAAAAACATTGCCTGTAGCAAATACAAATCTTATGTCCCTTTTAAAAAGCTTTTTTAATTTTCAACTTAACCAAAACTTGATGAAAAATAAAACTAAGCGATTAAAACTTAGATTCAGACGAGTATCAACAAAAAAAGTTTTCATAGGTAGAGGTGACGTAAAGCATACCAGTAATAAAGTAGTAATAACCTTTTATGTCCTTAATACGGAGGGTATGTTATTATCACAGAAATATGAAAAGGCTAAAAAAGATCTTTTTTATCCACCTTTTCCCTTAAAAAAAAAGGTTAAATATAGTCGTAAGGGTAAAGCTAGAATAATTTACAATAGAGTTTTAAGCAGTCAGGAAAATTTTGTTCAGGGTGATCATCAAGAATTATATGATTTATATACCATGTCCATAATGAACAAATACGCTTACTCTTCGGAAATAAAGTTATTAAATTCTTATTGTAATCTTTTAACTAGGCTAGTGGAAACAAATATTTTAACAAATGATGAGAAACGTATCCTATTTATTAATAAGATTTCACTATGGAAACCTTTAGATTATCTTAAATATAATCAAGTTAAACTAGAATCTCTTAAACGGTTTAAAGAAAAAAAATTACGCTACTTTTATCATTTATTGAAATTAAATAGTTTAAAATTTACAAATCAGTTTATGTCAAAGCTAATTTTTTTAGTTAGAAAATTATATAATAAAGATGTTGAATTCAATATTGTTAAATTAAAAAAAATGCATCTAAACAGTGATATATATACTCAAGGTGTATCCTTAAAATTAAGGAATAGAGATAATCGGCTATATAAAGTTTTAAAAAGATCTCTACGTAAAATTGATTTACCCGTTATAAGTAGAATAAGCGAAAG